CAAATTATTCTCGATGCAACGCACTGAATAATTTCCATGAGTATTACACTGAGAACAGAAGCCCTGTGCCTCCGCTCTGTGAAAATAACAACATCTCTATTTTTTTTCTTTGTGCCATTAAACCATCCAGTGGATTTGACTCCAGATTCCTCAGGCAGGCAGCCCACTGTTTTTGTTTATTATAGTGAAAAGTGAAAAACTAACTCCAGCAGAAAGCACAGCATTACTAAAAGGAAACAACTCGCTGTGCATGGGTTGTGTTTGATATCTTGTTCTGCAGTGTTGTGCTGTTTGTCACTGGTTTGATTCCTAAAGGGAAAATCCACCTTTAACAGGCTGAACTTTAAAGGTTTTTGGTTGATGTTTTTTTTAACCAGAGTTAAGATTAATAAGGAAGGAAGGAAGGATGAAACTCAGAAAGTGAGGAAGTAGGTAAGTCGGGAAATATGTAAGTAAGTAACTCGGGAAGGAAGAAAATAAGGACTGAAGTAAGTAAGTTGGGGAATAAGTGAGTCAGGAAAGATGGTAGGAAGGAAATAAAGAAGTAATTAAATTAGGAAGTATGTCAAAGAAGAGAAGGAAGGAATAAAAACAAAGAAATCAAGGAGTGTCTCTGTCATCTGACTTTTCTATAATTAATAAATTAAACACAAAAAAACCCAACTTGATTCCTATGAAGTGTTAAATTGACCAGATTGAACCTGGAGGTGGATTTTTCCTTTAAGCTGCTGACGTACGTGGAGGCGTCGCTCTGACTAAACTAATCCTGTGTCGTTGTCCAGGGGGGAGTGGACGGAGGCTACACCAAGGAAAAGATCCGCATCGTGGAGGGCGTGTGTCTCCTGTCCAATGAGGAGCTGTACTGGGATGACCTAAAACAGATCAAGCCGTCCCGAGGCGGCCTGCACACCTGCATGCGCACAGACACCGTGTCCCTGCAGGCCAGCAGCGCCTCGCTAGACGACGGGGAGACGGAGCAGCTCCTCCAGGAGGAGGCGTCCGAATGCTCCTCCATAACCACCCTGACTCCTTCGGCCATCACCCCACAGCGTCACGCCCAGCACAGCCTGCCCGACACCGGCTGGACCTCCACACGCAAGCCCTCCACCGAGAGTGAAGTGTGAGGGAGGCCTCCCCCCCCCCGCCCGCCCGCCCTCTGTGCTTTATCTCAACCTCAGTCATCCAACACACACACACACACACACACCTGTATTTATAACTGGTACAAACACACAAAGGTAAATAGGTACAAACACAACTGCATATGTAGAGTAACGGTACAGATGAACCTGGTTCGGCACAACTAAGCTTCCGTATACACAACTCCTGTCTCTGAAAATGGGGCTCCGTCCTACTCGTACACAGACACACACACACACACACACACACACACACACACACACACACACACACACACACAGTACAGCCCTTCAACAGTGCCCTCAGTGCTACTGCCTTCAGGCCACATCATAAACTAATGAGCATGCTGGAATAAGAAAGCGAACAACTCTGGGGAGGAAGTGAACACAGAGCGTTTTTCTGGAGCCTTTTTAAAGGACGCAGACTCTCAACAAACGCTTCACCTCTACTTCTTTTGTGAACTTTTTTCCTCTTTCTGGACAGAGCTAAAACGACACGCTCCCTGGACGGTGTAACCCCGATGCTCTCTGATACCACTCATGTCTCGATGAACTTTTATTTATGAACGTTTTTTGTACTTGTGGAGTGGGTTTGCTGACTTCCAGAGAACGGTGGGAGTGTTTGGACTTTTTGTGCTGCAGGACCTGGTTATTCAAGAGTTGTATTTATGACAGTGCCAAAGGGTGGGACTTCAAAGAGTCTCTGTGCGTCTTTCTGCATTTACACTTCCGTAGAAATGTGTCTTGATTACAGATCGTTTCCTTTGCCCTCAGCGGTGCACGACCTCAGTGACGACATCTGCTTCTAATTTCTTATTTTACCACCTCCGATGGGTCAAGCAAGGACTCGCTGTAGCTGATACTCAAGACTTGTTGCAGAAGTCTTTTCATCCCCTGCAAAAACTGAAAGGAGCCTTTTGTGTTTTTAATTTTGTTTGTAAGTTGTGATTCAACCATTGTGTGTCCTCGGGCATAGCTGAGGAAGCCGCGATGAAGTAACAGCCTAAGTGCCAAACAGTTCGTTCTTTTTCCTCCTTCAGCTGTATATTTATTTTTTTCCTCAGAGGTTTTAAAATGTACATTACGTTTTTTTTTTTTTTTTTACTTGGTCACCGAAATCATGGGAAAAAAAACATATCTTCTCACTTACCGCTGCTTCAACTCAGCCATGCAGATAGTTGTGGTTTTCTTTACCCAGCAGTGAACAGGTTTATACGTCTCTGGGGGTTTCTGTGGAACTACTTTCTCAGTGCGAACTGGTTTTGAGAATTTCTTCTTTTAGTCTTTCCAGGATATATGGCCCAGGTCCTCGGGGGTTTGCTGTCCAGACAGATGATTATCCATGAGCACTTATTTTTACAATTTGAAGCTCTTTGATTTAAATTTGAACATTTCATTTTACTGCCTCTAAAAAAAGCTTCCCTGAATTTATTGGACCGACAATATCTTTAATTGATCACACTCAAAATGAATGAATTTACTTGGTTGTTTTGGCTCATGTCATCTGTCCTCTACAACAGTCCTCTCATGAAACCACATTTAAATCCATTAGATTTGGATTTTTATTTAGATCTGAAAGAAAAGTGCACACACTCCTAGATCTGTGTTTTCATCAAGATCCATGAATTATTCTCTGAGAAATGAATTAAGATGCTGAGACATTGTGTTTATCTCACAATGTTAAAGAAAGAGAAAACTTCTGGATCCTGTGAACTTCACAGAAATCACTTCAGTGTTTTGTGTAACGATCAGAAGAAACACCAGAGTAAACCCTGTAATCTTAAATAAGGTTACGGTTTTTTCGGTTTGATATCTGCATCACAAATTTAATTTCCCTGCTCCCCGGAACATGATCACAGAAGTCCCAGTTTCACTTTAGTGAAGATATCAAACCCCTCGGCGTTAACAACCACAAGTATCTGCGTGACCAAACACTGTCGGAGGTAAATGAGATCATTTGTCCTTTTTCACAATTTGAGTTTTGAACCATCGACTTTTGATGTAACGCGTGTAAAGGTGCACGCACAGCATCGGCCACGGTGCAGTATATAACAAATGGGTATCTTAGAACACTGTGCATGTCTGACCCCATCAGACAGTGAGGGTTGTAGTTTAGAAATATATCACTGACAACTTACTGAAAAATGAATTTAATACGAGTAAAGATATTATGCATTGCTTTAACTTTTAGAGTACAATTCTGTCTGTTGTTGAGATATGGTACAAGGAAATACTATATTGTTATATTGACAAATATATCAGTTAGACTTTATAGGACCGCGTATTTTGAAGTATCTGCTACAAGCTCAGCAACTTGCTGATTTGCTGCTAGACGAAGCACTGAGGCCAATGAAAGGGGTCTGAGGGTCTTGGCAGCTACATAACCACAGTCTCTTGACGGTTGGTTGACGGCCTCCAGAGCATCACAGCAACCCAGTAACAGATCATCCCGGCTCACAATCCCTCCACCTCTGCTGCAGGAATGCTACAACTGTACAGATTTTATCGCACCAATACAAGAAAACATTTCTGTCGTTGGACGATATCGCTTTTAAGTTGTATAGTCTTTTGTACAAAGGGATTTCATGAGCGTTTCTAGACTTGTATTAATTTTACTCACTGGAGAAGAACTTTTTTTTTTTTGTTTGTTTTTGCTGGATTATTTTAACCACTGTGTTTCCAAGCCTTGTAAATGATAGGGAAGGTACCAGTTATTTAATAGTGCTCTTTTATCTTATGAAATACTGGTCGCGTATAGCTGTTGTAAAGTTAACAAAAAGAGGTATTTATGATTTTTGTTTGGTTGTCACTTGATGTGTAAATATGAAAAGACTGTATATGTATTTCCATGACAGTACTAACAAGCTGTGTTGTGTGATATAGTGAATTATCCCTTTGCTATCTTTTAATATAAAATTGCATTTGCATTTCAATGCAACTTTCGGCTCACTCGTCTCTGCACCTCGTTCTTTTACACAAACACCTTCTACGTCAGACGCAGTCGAATCGCATTAAAGGAAATGGATTATGTACACAAAGAAGTTTGTATAATCCGCATTAACGGAAGGCATAAATCTCTTTTCTGATGTATTCATATTTGTTTTATATTCTGCAAAACACTGACAATCTCAAATGAAAGCATTTAAAAATGAGGGTTAAATTTAAAGTACTGTAGAACACTGTTTTATTATTTATACTTTCTTCGTTTCATTATTATATTCTTTATAAGCACACAGGGATACACCCCCAACATGAATTCAACCATTAAGATAATTAATTCAGAACAAATCATAAATAAATAAATAAATTAGTTATGTGTTGATCACTAAAAACAAATAGTTATAGAGATAATTATTAGTAGTAGTAGTACTAGTAGTAGGAATAGTTGCAGTAATAGTAGTAGTAGTTGTAGGAGGAGTAGGAGTAGTTGTAGTAGTAGAAGCAGTAGGAAGAGGAGTTGTAGTAGATGTAGTAAAAGTAGCAGTAGTAGGAGGAGTTGTAGTAGTTTTTGTAGTAGTAGTAGTTCTAGTAAAAGTAGTAGGAGGAGTTGTAGTAGTTTTTGTAGTAGTAGTAGTTGTAGTAAAAGTAGCAGTAGTAGGAGGAGTTGTAGTAGTTGTAGTAAAAGTAGCAGTAGGAGGAGGAAGAGTTGTAGTACTAGTACTACTTGTATTATTAGTAGTAGTATTTTAAACCACGTTTCTCTCTGCCCTGTGAAGCCACTGTGTTCACGTGACAGCCACACAACTTGTGATTGGTGGGAGGATCTTTCCAGTGTCCAATGAACGCCCAGTATCCTGCAGTCTGAGCCAATCAGCGATCAGCTCCAGACGACGCTCTCGTTCAAATGCAGAGGAGAAAAAAAAAAAAAAAAGACTCTCGAGGAAACGGAAAGAAACTCCGTGAAAACGGTGACGAGGCGGAAACGACCCCGATGCTGTGATGAAGCTTCTGACTTTGTACAAAGTGAGAAAGTTTTACTTTTAGTTTTTAACGCGATATTCTGCTTTTACTCAGTAGCGGAAGTAAGCTGCTAGCATAGCGCAGCTAACCGGCTAACACCGAGTCAACATTAGCCTGGTTAGCTTTAGCCTGCTGTTGTTTGTTTGTGGACATTTAAAGAACACACGTGACTTTGTGAGCCGATTTACCTCACGTCGGTTTCCTTCGCCACTTTTAACTTGTTTTAAATGTGACCCGTTGTTTTGTGAACACGTGCGGCGCTAACACGCTTGTTTTGTTCGCTAACGTCGCAGGTGGTGCTAACCGGCGCTACTCGGGTCATCATGGCGGATGACGCAGGCCGGATAGAGCCACACGTGGACACGAGGTAAACGCAGACGGAACACGCTTGTGTCGTGGTGCTTGTGTGTAACAGGGGTCGGTGGGTGTGAGGGTGATGAGTTG